GGGGAGAACACGTGTGTTTTTATACAAGTGATCATATTAAAACAAACCTGGCAAAGTAAAGTTTGGAAATGAGACGCATTTCCTGTTTACCCTACCCTATACTTATATTACATTGCACCCATGAAATTTAAAATTAAGCTATCATATCACTGCCCAGACAATAACATATTATGTTAAACACAAACGGAAGGTTGACTTGTGACCCTGAGAATCGGAATTAAACACTGAGATATTTAAATTTATGCAAACCAGATTTTGTTTTATTGTGATTTAACAATTAAGGGGATATGAAGTAAGTAAAATTAGGATAAATAAATGCAGGCGTGCACAATAATCATTTAGCCAATAATTTCCTATAATTTATATCAATATTTAGATCGAATTGTGTTTGCGCACAATATTATTTCTGACGACGAAACACGATATTCCAATATCCAGTCGTGTGGCGTTTAATGAGCATTGACGATTCCACGAACCACCTATCCACCTCCAATTTCGAATATTCTTTGATAAAACAGTCGCTATATGGCTACCGCCTATACGTAATAGTTCTTGGAATTTTAACTGAGTTTAAAATGAATAGCTAAAAAAGAAGTTTGCTTACTTTATGGCGAGTTAAATTTCATACCAATCAACATGTACAGGCCGCGTGAAAGAACAGCCCTAAATTATTATATAAGCTAGGAGTTCTCAACTTCAACAACAAATTAAAGTCGCAACGTATAGGCGGTCTGGAGTATTATTAACAAAAAATACAAACACCAATGCTGACAATTGTTCGACATGGTTCTCGTAAGTCGCCAATGGTCGGGTCTCATTATTCGTAGTCATTCAAGGAGGAAATTAAATTTACGAAGGATTTCACTCACCTGATTAAAAACACAGGCCTAGTAAGTTAACATACGGTTAGAAACATCTACCTTCTACCATCTAACCATCTACATTCTACAGTGAGTTTGCTCCCATACGCCAACTAATTACATCGAACCGATCCAAAGCTTGCTTGCCCAAACCCACAAACGTGTCCGATCATGCATATGAATTACACTCTTGTATTGATTACATTTTTGCTGTTGTGCCCAAATAAGGCAAAGACCACAGGAACAGTGCTTCAATAAAAACAAGCCCACATTCAACAGGATACTAATATATATGTGGTGATAAGCCATATTGTTCTTGTTATGAGTTATCTTATTCCATGGTACTACTGATGCAAGAACAAATCCTAAACGTCTCATTTACACAAATTTCATGATTCACTCGTTTATTATCAGTGGCACATAATCTCACAAACACTCTCTAAAGTGACGAAATGTTTAACCAGTGCAAATTACACATAATGTAATTATTTACCTATTGTCATAGTCAGTCCCCGTTTACAGGGCAAAAGATTTCGGATTCGTCACAAATCCAGGATGTTTTTGATATCGGATTCGTGTTGCCGTTTACACTAAAGAGCATGAATGCGTTACAAAATTTCACAAATAGAGTATAAATCCGAAACTTTGGATCCGTAAAAGTTTGTGGGGTCTTTGTGGGATCCGAGAAAGTGTCGATCCAAAAGCAACCTTTCGTTTAAACGCTTTCTAAAAAGAATTAGAATGAATTTGCTTCCTCGTACGTTTTTCAAATGTATTGCTATTAGTTTCAACAGCCAAACATGGTCTAACATTACAAAATTATGCGTCAAAATTTTGCCTCATTGCCAATCGCTGTGTCAAGTTGTGTAGTGTGAATTCCTCAGGAATCCGCACACAAAAAAAAACAAGGAATCCGCCTAGTTTTACGAATCCGGAATCTTTTGCCCTAGTGTAAACAGGATCTCAGGCTAAAAATTCTCTGGAAAGACAAGTTACAAACACAGCCATCATTAGAAGCGAGTTCGGGTATTTAGCTTCTTGGAATTAGGTGAAAGACGTTTTGGACAACAACGTTAAAGCCTATCCTATCTCGAGTCTATATGCTTGACAAATTTGGAGTGTAATATGAAGTGTAAAATCCCGATCAAGACCAGATCCAATGTTCACTGAAAACATACTGAAACACGGCAATCACTACAACTGAGTTAAAAAATGTTATCTTCTAGGAAGCGAACTGCTTCTAAGAAACCGACATTAAGGACTATCTTTAAATTTCAAGAAGGCAAGCCGATGAGATGACACATACTGTATGCTTGACTCTGAGATCAAAACTCGCTTATCGAATTCTGTAACATTCTTCAGTTATTAGTTAAAGTAAAATCCTGACACCAGAACTACAACGTACATATTGCTTTGACATAGTATCTATGCATAATAGCTAACGAATCTAAACACATTGAGTGCGCAGCCTGTGCGGTTTACAGACTTTTTACCGTCCATTACGATTACACGAAAGTTGGTATAGAAAACTACAAACTACATCCGCTCTTCAATTTTCATTATATTTAATTATTTTATATATGTCTGCAAATATTTCCCCACTAGTTTAAATTCCTAAGATCCCGATTTAATTGCATATTGTATCCAAAGTTGATGTCGCTTAAACTTTGTATGGATAGAATCGCCTTAGCAAATTGTCGTCGTTTTAGCCTATAATCTACAGTTATCGAACTTTATGTGTACTACAGTTCTAGGAACTGAAATTCTAGCAAATCATATGTCGAGGAAAACGCCTGCTTACAATTACTGTATAGAAGACAATACTGCTAAATTCGTTGCAAATCAAATTTCATCCACAAACAAACAGTCGGAACAAGTAAGAGAAAAAATATAACTTTAGGGCAGAAATAAAGTGAAGTCTTACCGTATTAAACCGACACAAACTTCAGCACTAAGGTTTAAATTTATATGAATAAAGAGATCTGATTTTATATCATCAAAAATGTCACGAGCTACATTATGTATAGAGTAATAATAAATATAAGATACAAACCTTGTGCTGACAGTTTTCGTAATTAAGAAAATCTAGCTCCCACTGCTTCCTTCTGTTATCAGTACGTTCACTGCTTTGAGCCTTTGACGCACATTTAACTTGAAATCCTAAAATATAAACCCAACATCCGGTCACGTGAAAAGTAGCCAAGTATTTTAATATTTAGGACCAGGTCTTCCATGCTGTGATAAAAGTGTCATATAGCCGATGAGGCATTTGGCGCGGACGTCACATTCCTTAACGGAAGCGTATAATTTTTCGCCAGATATTCGGATACATGCAGCAAATCCACTTCGCTAGATCTCAATATTTGAATATTTTAGGTTTATTTTTTTTACAAGATTACAAAATCTTTAATTTTACAAAACTCTCTTAAGGTAAATAATGGGTAAATAATGTAATTATTTACCTATTGTCATACTCAGTCCCCGTTTACAGGGCAAAAGATTTCGGATTCGTCACAAATCCAGGGGCTGGTTGTATAAAAACGTAGTTAGCGCTGACTGCAGTTAAAAGGTAGTTAAAACGCCATAACATATAGTTAACTGTAATCACGTAGTTAAGCCGGTTGTATAAAAGTGTATAGTTAGCCTTAATTACAGTTAAAAGGTAGTTAAAGTTAACTATGCTTTAGAGTATAGTTAACTGTCCAAAACGTAGTTAAAAATGGCGTTTGTATACGAGTGAACAACATTTTGCAGTAAAACAACAATGAAAAGCAATGCTTACCATGAGATTTTCAATCGCTATCTTCCCTAGCCTTTGAATGTTTCCTGACAATATAAATTCTTCAAACGCTATCGCTTTGTTGTTTTTACGAAAACAGAACATATTTTTGCCCAGGACGATTTCTCGAAGACGAAGTATGGTCGTTTACACCAAGAAACACTGATATATAATTGCCAAACAGCTATACCTTGGTCTAACGTAGACATCGCAAGGAAAAACGGCATTCTTTTATGATTTTGTGGCGGTTTTTCATTGTTTTCTTGTTTATTTTTCACTGTTTTCAAGTGTTTTGAATAAAATTACCGCCTATTTGCAAAATACAAGTCCACAATCATGTTGAAAATGTGTGTCAGCGGTCGTTACTCGCTGCTTACTTTATGTAATTTTGTGTTTAAACGTCCCAAGCAAGCCCCACGCACAGTTAACTACGTGATTATAGTTAACTATCCGACTAACTACGTTTTGTGCAACGCAGGTATATAAGTCATGCAGTTAACTAATTACAGTTAAGGATTTAACTACAATGATAAACGCTAACTATACAGTTGCGATAATTACGTTTTTATACAACGGGCCCCAGGATGTTTTGATATCGGATTCGTTTTGCCGTTTACACTAAAGAGCATGAATCCGTTACAAAATTTCGCAAATAGAGTATAAATCCGAACCTTTGGAATCTTGAAAAGTTTGTGGGGTCTTTGTGCAATCCGAGAAAGTGTCGATCCAAAAGCAACCTTTCGTTTAAACGCTTTCTAAAAAGAATTAGAATGAATTTGCTTCCTCGTACGTTTTTCACATTTATTGCTATTAGTTTCAACAGCCAAACATGGTCTAACGTCACAAAATTATGCGTCAAAATTTTGCCTCATTGCCAATCGCTGTGTCAAGTTGTGTAGTGTAAACGCCTCGTGAATTCGTACACTAAAAAAACGATGAATCCGCCTAGTTTTACGGATCCGGAATCTTTTGTCTTGATAGTGTAAACGGGACTTCAGGCTATAAATTCTCTGGAAAGACAACTCACCGCAACAACAAACACAGCCATCATTAGAAGCGAGTTCGGGTATTTAACTTCTTGGAATTAGGTGAAAGATGTTTTGGACATGCAACCACGTTAAAGCCTATCCTATCTCGTGTCTATATGCTTGACAATTTTGGAGTGTAAAATGAAGTGTAAAGCCCGATCAAGACTACAGATTCAATGTTCACTGAAACCATACTGAAGCACAGCAATCGTTACAAACGAGTTGAACAATTTATCTTCTAGGAAGCGAACTGCTTCTAAGAAACCCACATTAAGGACTATCTTTAAATTTCAAGAAGGCAAGCCGATGAGATGACACATACTGTATGCTTGACTCTGAGATCAAAACTCGCTTATCGAATTCTTTAACATTCTTCACTTATAATCTTGCAAGCACAAAAAAAGCCATACCAATAAAAGCCTGACACCAGAACTACAATATACATATTGCTTTGACATAGTATATATATGCGTAACAGCAAACGAATCTAAACACATTGAGAACTCAACCTTGTACTGTTTACAGACATTTGACCGTCTATTACGATTACACGGAAGTTGGCATAGGAAACTACAAACTACATCCGCTCTTCGATTTTCATTATATTTAATCATTTTATATCTGTCTGCAAATATTTCCCCACTAGTTTAAAGTCCTAAGATCCTAATTTAATTGCATATTAATCCAAAGTTGATGTCGCTTAAAATTTGTATAGATAAAATCGCCTTAGCAAATTGACGTCGTTTTAGCCTATAATCTACAGTAATATCGAACTTTATGTGTACTACAGTTCTTGGAACTAAAATTCTAGCAAATCATATGTCGAGGAAAACGCCTGCTTAGAATTACTGTATAGAAGACAATACTGCAAAATTCGTTGCAAATCAAATTTCATCCACAAACAAACAGTCGG